CAGTGCAGCACCTGGTTGAGTTTTTCTCCCCTGTCACGGAGTCTGGTGACATTTTCTTTTCTTTTAAGAGTCTAACCTATCGTTACCATGCTAACTTAATGTGTCATCTTCACTTGTGTCTTTTAGCATCTTTCTTGAAATGTTTTCCTCTCCTTCCTCCTTTTCCCACAGAAAATAGACCCATATCAAATTATCCCAACTTCCTTCTACGGATGGATATGATTACATCCTACAGAGTCTGTGAGAAGAGCATCCGTCTGCTTTTCTTCGTAAAGGTTTGTTCTTCTTAATCATGGTGATCTATCGAGGGATAGCAGATCATTGCTATGCATCAATGAGAATCAAGTGTTTAACACAGCTGCATAATAACTAAGAAATAAAGAGGTTAATATAATGTGAAAGGATTTTGTAACTCTGAAGAAACGGCAGCAATCACTTTATCTCTAAATGAATATATTTACTTAAGCAGTGCATTGCCTGACATTTCGACATTTCATCATATTACATATTTGTTTGACAGAGACTCTGTATTTTTAGAGCCCTCTGTGTCAATGTACCAGTGAGATGGATTCATTGAAAGACGCTCTTAATGTCAAACCTAGTCGTCGCCTCTTGGCTTTACACAGAGTTTGCATCATGCTCATTAAAGTAGTTATTTCAGGACTCTGAGCAGTATTTTAAATATTTAACCTTTACGGATCAAAAATTAAAGTGTCTTTCAGTTTAAAAGAGTATTCAATGGGTGTTCCTGGTTTTTCATTCTTCTTCTCAGTAGCACCTGTAACAACAACTCGCGCCATCAGAGGGCTATTGTGGGTCTGAATGCACCCTTGTTGTCACAAATCCCTCCAGCTGAGGAATATAATGGCAGACTGTAGTGTTTTGTTCCGCTATATCAGCTGTTATGAGACTACAGGATCCTTGGACGTTGCCTCCCTGGAAGGGGGATGGGGCGGGGCAGAGAGAAGAAGAAGAGGAGAAGCTGGATGGTAATGACGGATGGGATGGGGCGAGGTACTCTGCATGTTCTTTTGAACGATTAGAGAAGACGGTCTGAGTGATCTCCCTCGGGGCAGAAGTAGCACAGTCATCAATCTGTAGGGTTAACGCTGGGTTATAGGATGGTATATAATCCAGAGAATAGAGTCCTTGCCGGGATGCTATTCTGGCTTCACCCTCCCCCTTCCTTTGGCGCAGGATTGTGTCCACACGTGTAGAATTTAATATAGATATTAATGCGTACATGAATGCACGCTTCACTGCATTTACACAAAAACACTTATGGCTCTTCTCCATGACATCATGTTGACATAGTTTTCTGCTTCATGGTTTCTTTTGATCGCTTATTCTTTGGGGAAAATATGTAGAACATTTCGGCCTTGCTTAGATAGTTGAATACATGTGCTTTCAGGAAGCACTGTCCATCAAAATGAGTAAAAAGAAAAGTGTCATTCCATTATAGAGGGTTCCTTTAAAAACAATGACAATCCAATCTGCAAGTATAACAGGTTCTTACCCACCAAAAATGTTAGCCCAACAAACTCTGATGCATTATCGGACAATAAAGACCCAAAAATCAAAAGGCGTGCAGCGTGTCGGACTGCATTCTGATGATTAAGGGATACATTACAAGGACAAAAGGGAGGGGGAAATAAGATAAAATAAGTGAAAAATTAAATGAAGTCCATGAAGTTTTGGGGCCGTTACCCTATTAAGTAGTTTTTGTTCCTAAACCATTTGCTGACTACGACATTTAACCACTACTTCCTTATGTTCGTCAAGTATGAACACATGCAGGTCTGAGGATGTGTAGGTCCTGTAGGTCATAAAGGAGGGTAGGAACAAAAGAACATTGTGGTCTTATGGGTTGGAGAAACAAAGAAATGTAATTGAATATCTCTCCTATTGTGCAAAAAGGGAAAAGAGAGAGGACTGGATAGAAAGGGCAGGAAGAAATATGGCATTGGAAACTCACAAAAAGATTGCAGCAAAAAATAAGAAGTGGATCAAAAGATTTGACTTTGAGCAGACGGAAAAGAAAAGGCAGAAATACAAAGAAAAAACTACCAGCTGAGCGAAAAGGCATTCTCCGATCACAGCAGTGTGAGTCTGCAGCGCTTAGGATAATGAGCCAGAGAACGCTACAGGAGATTCGAACAAGGAAAAAGAGCAAGAAGATGAAAAGGGAAATATGGCTGTGCAAGTGGCTCACTCTATAGTTTCAGTTAACTACTGTCTCCCAGGTAAGGAGAAGACGAAACAGGGTGAGACCAGGAAAAGGAAAAGTTGAACAGTTTAGGGAACAAAATGGGAAGAGTAACAATGAGGAATGGAGTTAAAAGAATAAAATACTGCATGATCACAAGAATCATTTCCAAGACATAAAGTGTTGAGTGATTCATCATGTTTGCCTAACTTCCAAATTATACAGATCGATGTTAAAAAAAAAGCAGCTGGTTTGAGGCTTTAACCACGCCTTTATCAATAGTTTTAAATGACAAGATTTTCATCCAAGACATCCACTAGACTCCAGAACATGTGGTTCCAACTAAGATAAGGTTTTGTAGTACCAGTATTCACAGAATTATCAGGGTTTTTTGATCGGAGGTGTGAGCTCATTAAGTCAGTTGTTTATTTCCATAAAGCATTCACGAGTGATAAGACCACGTGAACTTTTTAGACAGTTAACTACTAAAGCAGTAATCAAAAAGCTTTTTTTTTTGCCATCCCTACTCTAAAAAACTCTACCAAACAGATTGTACAAAATAGAGGCTTCCTCCGTAAAATACAACTCCATTCTTTTAAAATCTTCCAACCAGAAGATGTTTAAATGTTTTCTAATTGAAATGTGTGTATGTCATTATTTTGCAGGTACTTCCAGTCGAACATGTGTTGCTGTTATTTAATTTTGCATTACATCATCTGCTAGAGAAAAGAAAAGTGTGACAGAAGAAGCTCTGAATAAGACAGTCAATGTGGGCCGGGCCCAGACATTTTTAGTTCTGCTTGGCTGGACATTCCTCGTCCTTCAGGGATTCTTGTCTTTCTTTTTTTGTTCTGGGATTGAGTGTTTTTAAAAGGCACTATGATGCTTTATGCTGTTAAAAAAAACCAGAGAGGTGCTGGCATTTAGATAACAAAAGTGTTTGGGTTGGCGACGGACAAAGAAGTTCTAAGACCTGGGTTGGGGGCAAGTGTCTCGTTGACCCAGTTGTCCAAGAAACAAAGCAAACCGCCGTAATAACTTGGCATCTTGTCCTGCCAAAGATTGTAACAAAATATTTTCTATAAGACATTTTGCCTTTACTTTTGGTAAGAACACATGGGGTAGAGACAGGAAAGGAAGGGGAGGAAATGGGGATGACTTATAGCAAAGGGCCCAGGACTGAACACAGGCCCCTCAACTTGGTATTTATTATGTGCTTGACCACCGTTCTTCTATTGAAATGCATTCTTGTGTGGTCTTATCTTCCTGTTCTGTTCTCTTTTTTTGCTGACTGCACCAAGACACTGACACTCAAACTGTATCTCATTCAAATTCACATCATTTGCACACAAACCATTCATTACTGGAACTTGACAGGTACAGTGTATTCTCTGTGCTGCTACCCCAATGCAGACCTTACACCTTGAAGTGGCCTCTGTTTACCCGTCCCCTGTTCCTGCCTAAGCCATCTGGCTTACAAACACGTACATCAGAGGCCCTGCAATGCGATATTATTGCGATTTTTAACATTTCACGATATGCTGATTAGGATTTGACTTTTTTTTACTACAATTTACGTCCTCAAAATTAAATAAATCAAGAACTGTTAAATGAGGAAAAATTCTCATTCCATTCATCTGACTTCAGTCTTTTTATTTCTACACAATGGGAGTCAAGCCTACAGACTAACCAACACTGTGATAAGAGGAAAACCCTGCAAAAGGCTGCACGCCCCTCACAATCTGAACTGTTAATATTTCAGTCCAATGCAACTTGAATTGTGCAACCCCTTCAGCAATTAAAAATCTAAAAAGCACATTTGATATTAATATAATGAAAATACCAATACGTGATGGCCATGACATTTATAATATTGCCACACAATATACTGTAACGTTTTTTCCCCAACCCCTTATACATAGTCATATGTTAAAGATTATAATTTCTACGGTCTGCAGGTTTGTGCGTGGATTCAGTCACCTTAAAATCTATGAAACAATACGGAAAGTAGGAGAAGGTAAACTCATGAATAAAACTTTCCACTCTGAAGACCAACTACCTTAAAGGTACCTTGTAGCAACAAACCAGTTCTCCAGGGGAGCCGCTCAATTGTCACAGATATGTGGTTGGCAGCTCCCAGGAGTAAATGTTGGTCTTTTTTCTGAATTTTAAACTCAGGAGTGATGGAAAAAGAATGTGATTGCTCAACAAAATCCCTCATTCAATGAATAATTCATGGTTTAAGTGTATACTGTGCTAATACAAATGAATGGCAATCAGTTAATTAGGAAAGACGATACGTAGGCAAGAAGAACAAAGCCTGTGTTTGTCCAAGAGAGAAATGGTTTCAGGCTTTGGGGAACATGGAGGTCTTTAAGTCTTTTAATGGCACTTCCACCATTTAATTCCTATTTTTCTTGGGTATTAGCAAAGATTTCAGGCTGGAGTGCTTCAAAGGTTAGGAGGTCTGCAATAACTATTCGACTTCATACTCAAATGTAATGGAAAACAGACAACTAATCAAAAATATAATGTCATGGAAATCAAGTCCTTAAGATGTAAGACCAATTACCATACACCATGTTGTTGGAAAATTTTACCTATTGGTAGCATGAAATAACTTGACAAGGGGTCCCCATGATCATTAAGGGCCTTTTTTAATAACATATCAATCAGTTTGGAAATAGCTTTATAGCCTAAAACAAACAGGATTTACTAGGCACTCCCAGCAGATGGTCAAAGAAACCTGAGAAAATTTGATTAGTTGAAAGATGTTTCTAAAGAATGGACTTACGTTGTAGAGGATGTCTACCCAGCCCTCCATGGTGATGCACTGAAACACAGTCAGCACTGCAAATAAGATGTTGTCAAAGTTGGTGATACCAAAGTTGGGTCCAGTCCAGTACTCTCTGCATATAGTGCCGTTTGGACAGGTCCTAGCCGGGGGCTCCAGACCACAAGGCCAGTCTGCTGCTTTCTCACCTGAAAGAAAGACATTTTCAAAAAGGGAATGGCAAGAAAGAGTTTTCAAATTCACATCAATATCTTTAGCATAATTTCAGTAAAACAAATAGGTTTTATGTGGGTCAGCAGAGCAGCCAATATGTCCTGCATCTTTCTCCCTAGCTCCCTCACGCTGTTCATATCTCATAACAATTACTCATCATACTGGCAACATTCCCAGGTTTCCCGTCATCCCTGACTGATTGAGGGCTATTGACCTCCTCACCTCATAATGTATGGTGAAGGCTCAACCTCTTTCTGTCAGTTATTACACAAAGCTGCGGGTCCACAGGTGAAGGTTGGTACAAAGACTTACTGGTAAATATAGATCTTTGCTCTATGACTTGCCAGCACTTTTAACAGGGCTGCTCCAACAGAGTGCCTGCCCGATATCTCAGCTGAAGCACACAGCCAGAAGCAAATAACACAGCCTTCTCCTCAGAAAATCTGGTCCTGCCAATTTGTTAGTTCCCTTTTCACCAACAGTTACATAATCCAACATGAAAAACATGGCTGTGTCCAGGGGTTTTTAGCCTTACTTAGCACATATTACAAGCCTTAAACATTTGAGGACATGAGCCTTTACAAGACAAAAAGATCAAAAGGACATAAAATGAAATCCAAGCTTGGTCCAAAGGAGTTAGTAAGGAGTATAAAGCAGAGGAATTGCACTCAAATCAAAAAATGTCTGCAGAAAGTTGGGGTGAGCAGATTCCATCATTTTGTAGACACATGCACTCTACAGGGTTAGGGTTTTTTAGGGTTTTGAAAAGGATTTGCTCAAGTTTACTCAGCTTAGTGAGTAAGTGGTCTAGTTAAGTAATCCGTGCCCCATCTATTTGTTGAGTTTTCATGGTTTATGAAGTGACAGTGAGATGGTGGTAGTAGACGGAGGAAGCTGAGAGTTTGTTTAAAGGATGTGCTGGCACACATGTCAGCAGATGGAGAACACACTAAAGAATAAATGTGCTGAGTATAACAGATGCCTTGTGCACCCAGTGTTTCATGAGGGAGTGTGCTATGATCACAAGTTGTGGCCAGTTTTAACGATGATCTGCAGAGCCAGACTGCATGGCACACATCCCTACAGTGTCACTCCAGTAAAATATGTCCTTTCCTTTCTACTGACAGATGATGACTCAGCTGGACTCAGTCCCAGGGAGGATACTGGAACGCCTCAGGTCTCTTTCCAATTGAAATCAGATTATTTACAAGGAAAAAGAGGGATCACAACTTCATGTGAATGTCATATTTTGGGTGTGAAAATAGCTATTTGTTTCATAATACACTTTTTATGTTTTTATGATGATGGTCAATGGACATGTTATTTTTTAGTTAATTTATTTCATTGGTTTTATTTCTTGTGGTCGCTTTAGCAAATTTTTGTTCAACTCATTTTGTTCGGCATCATTGCAAATGAGGGTCGCCCTCAATGATCTCTCCGAGAACTTAAATAAAGGTTGATGATGATGTTGCCATCCAATTTAATGTGCATGTTAACAAATCTGTGGGAATACTCTTTTTTAAACAGGGCTACTCAATAAGTTGCAAATTTTTTTGTTAAGGCAATATGAGCATTTGCTAGAAACACTGGATTTATTTTGGATACAGGATGGATATGTTGCAGACACAGGTATTGTGAAAAGCATGATGAACAGCATATACACATAAAAACTATACTTAATATGCACTCTTTAGTTTTTCTTTATCTCACTTCAAATTGTTATCACAATACTGAACAATGTAATCACATTGAAATTCAGAAGATCTTAAACAGTCTTGGACTTTGAAGAGTTGGTTAATAATCTAATAAATTCCAAACTCTTATGTGTTTGTCTTAATTTAATCAGAAGTTATGGCTCATGATAATATGTTTTATATTTAATTACATGCCAAATGGCAGCAAAGAAAATTGAGGAGCAGAAAAAAAAAGAGTTGTTACCAGGTAGAAGACCAAGACGACTTGAACATGGTGTACGTTGAATACGTTTAAAAAAACACAAGCATGCAAATATACTAAGACAGGTAACCTGCATATGACTCACTCATTCATTACGCGTTCATTACACACACACACACACACACACACACACACACACACACACACACACACACACACACACACACACACACACACACACACACACACACACACACACACACACACACACACACAAAGGAAAAAAACCTGCCACAGCTTTCATGTAGAAAATTCTTACCAATGCTGCTCAGAGTAATCAAACCCTGCTGTGTAAGACTAAAGACTAAAATAGCTCAATAACACATGTATTGTACATTAGCAGGCTGTCACATCTGCTCACACCACTACCAGCACCCTGAGTGGGATGAAGCACGCGCACGCACGCACGCACGCACGCACGCACGCACGCACGCACGCACGCACGCACGCACGCACGCACGCACGCACGCACGCACGCACACACACACACACACGCAACATGTGACGCCTTCACATTATCTGACAGCACAGCAGCGGGGAATAAAGCCCTATTATAATTTTTATCACTACATTACACAATGGATAATTTAAGCTGAGCAGTCTCAATGTTTTCTAAAATTACTGTAATGTTGTAGTGTAATAATAATACTGTCACAGTAACCTGGCTTTGACACAGCACAGCAGCAAACACATTTCTGATAACACACACACACAATAGGGGAGGAGGCTTTTCTTACCCTCTTCCTCCCTCCGCTTTAGTTTTACATCGTAGAGAATGAACTGGGGGCTTATGTCATGTACAGTAAACTTTTTACCAGTGGTTATGTGTTCGACTTTTTTTTATTACATTTAAAACACTTAAAATACCATTTTAGTTTATCCAACATTTTCAGACATCAGTCTTTGGAAAACCCCGATGAAGGCAGGCTGATAATGAAAATGCAAATGCCTAACTGTGAATTCTTAAACGTGAGACAGTCATTGCTTTCAAATTCTTTTCAATGACATACAAAATGCAATTTAGCAGACTCGTGAAGCTCCAATGGTCACTGATTGTGTTAAAAAATATTTTTCTTTCAAAATGACATGTATGTTACTATGTTATATTTGATTTTGTATAACTGCACTGTTATTCTTTAGATCGTAATATCATACTGCTCTTTTACTGCTGTTTACATAACCCTAAACTTTTTGATCACACAAGTCACTTTATATCATCACTGGTCACTTTAACTTGACATCCACTACACATAATTCGTAATTGTCCTGTATTGTTTAACTATTTATATTCTTTTGTATATACATCCTATTGTTGTTTCTATCTGTATTTATCTTATCTATCCTGTGAATTTTGTATTACTTCTTTCTCTGTCTTGCTGCTGCAATGCCCGAATTTCCCCTCTGGAGATCAATAAAGTATTAACCTATCCTATCCTCTGAGGTTTCTATGTTTGTTGGTGGTCATGATATTGAGACCTAATTGTTTATTATTGTACCCAACAATCATCAACCATTTCAAGTGGTAAAAAATACATTTTACAATCCTTAAACCATTATTACCAAGATGACAGAGTGGCTCTTCAGTTAGGTCTGCACTGCTCTTAACACAGCTCTTATGGTTTCTTGAGGATCCGATATAACTTGTGTTTATTAGAAGATTCTTGAAAAGGATGTTGTAGTGTGAGTCTGATCATGAACCCCAGGTGTCTAGTTTAAATTCAATTCTAAATTAAGTAAATATTGATGAATGAGCTGGAAAACTATTCTAAAAGTTGGTACAATGTTCCTCCCTTTAATTTATGAACTACAACTGCTCATTTGAGCTAATTTTAAATCTGACTTAGGAACAGTCACCTGTAGGCCCGGAGGTTTATTCTACATCTTAATTAGAATGAAGTAAAGGTGAAACAGATTAAAACCTCTATAATTTCCCCTTAGATCAGCACAAAATTACTTTGACCTCGTCAGGATTCTTCAAGAGAATTTTGTTTTTTTAAAATGTTTCGCTCATAAGTTATATTATATTGCGGGGTTATGAATTGCAGAATTGTTCAAATTTAAATTTATTTGTGTTTGATTACATGTGTAGGAAGTTTCAAGGGTTAAATTTAAGGTAGTGTTTCAGTTAATAAAAAAGGATGCCTCAAAAGCCTGAAACTGTATTAGGTATTGAAAGTAGTAAGATTGAAGTAACATTGTCCACTGTAATGGAGAGCTGTTAAACTCCCATTTGCACAGCCAGACTGCCTTGTCAGGTATAACTGCTTTTATAGCTTCACCAACTCACACATCTGAAACAGAAACGAAGACAGAAGCAGTACCCTGGAACCTCATTAGCACCATCTGAGGTAGAATTCGATCAGGAGTCCAAGTACATAATAATCCCTATTGAGTTTCAAACAGAAGCTATCACTCAAACCTGAAGACTGTGAAAACCACTTGTCAAAATCAAGATGTGAAAAATGGCTGTCAGAGTTTCTGCTGTAGACCTGTTTGTTAGGTTGATATAGGCTCACTTCCTGCGAGCCCTGTGAATGTAAAGCTAGGCTTCTCATAAGCTGCGTGTGCCCACAAAACGCATGAATTATTCAAGTGCGTCTGCATGAATATGTAATGTAATATATGTTTTCATCCATAACCAACACAGGAAAACAGCTGAGGGGAAAAGAGAGAAAACTTTTCCTGGCGCAAACTCGGCTGATGATTCAGTGTTGTTGTACAAACACGCCTCAGTCAATCTGTTGCTCTCACCAGTGTCTATCCGGAAGCAGGTGGTGTGGAATTTCCCCATGTAGAACTCCACCCCGATGATGGCAAACATGACAATGGCGAAGAAGAGCAGCAGGCCGATCTGAAGCAGAGGAACCATGGCTTTCATTATAGACTTCAACACCACCTGGAGACCTGGGAGAAAGAGAGAACAAAGTGTTAGCAGGGCTCAGTCAACTACATGAAGAGGAAAACACAGAGTTCACACTTTATCTCAACCTGGGCCTTATTTTCTATCACTTAGACTTGTTTTTTTTATCACTTAGGAGGATTGATCATCTGAATGCTTATAATTTGTGCACAATCTCCCTTCTTTTTTATCATTTTTAAAAACTCCAAGGTCTAAGCAATTTAAAATGTTAGTGTTGTATTATTCTCCTAAAGAAAAGATGGTCCAAATCAAAGCTGGACGTTTAGTAGTTTAATTATCACTTTAAATAGAGATGATTTCTGATCTGAAAAAAAACAATAGAGCCTCTGTAAAACTGGGTCAAAGCCACCAAACGTCAGTCTGAGTGATCATATCTGGAGCAATCGATAAAAAGAAAAAGGTTTATGAGAATTTATAAAAACTAAGTTATCTGCTTTTGTAAATAAACTCTTTATCTGCTATGATAATTACTCATATAAGGCTAGACATGTTACAATAATACATCATTTATAAATGATAAAGAGAATAAAAGATAAAATATTGCTGTATATATGAGAGATAATTAAAGAATATAACAGAATATCAAAGCAAAGAACAAAGAACATGAAGAACATAAAACTGACATTTTCTCACAAAGCTCAAATCACAGCCGAGTAACAAACTGGACGATGACTTTCCAGAAGTTTGTTTTTTTATTATATTGACAGAGAGACTCACTGGGGATTCCTGACACAAGTTTCAGGGGCCTCAGCACTCTCACAGCTCGCAGTGTTCGCAGGTCAAAGTCTGAACCCACTTTGGCCAGGATCCTGTGAAGACACACAGACACAAACATCCAGTTAGCAGCCAGTATTCCTCTGTAGCACTGATAACATAGCTTCTCATAACATTTCAGTCCAATACGCTACACATCGAGTATGCATCTTTAACTCAGGATGCCAATAACAAGTAGAAGGGAATCATTGTATCTTTTTCATTTTTCTTAATAACCCAATATGTTGAGAGAAATGTAGTTTGTTGTAATCCTCTTCCTGATTTTAATCAAATGAAGACAAAGGCTGAAACTACAACCTGTATGTTCTTCTCTGCGTGATGTCATAATTCATAATTCACTATATGCATTGATCAATAATCTAAACCTCTTGTGATTCACAACTGTGAAATGGTATGATCCAAAGTTTCTTCAAACTGCTCGTTATACTTACCCAACAATCAAAAATAATAATGCTGACTATTTTACTATGAGTACATAGTACACTTGATAACCACTTCTGCACTATTTGTGACAGTAAAAAGACTTAAAATATAAATGTATTTCAAAGGAATCATGAGAAGCATTGATTCCTTAAAAATGAACCATCTCATTGTCTGTAGATTGGCTAACATAAGACATTCAAGTATCAGAAATTATTTTTCAAAGACCCTGAGACCCAAAAGTGAAAAGTGATGTCTTCAAATAGTTTGTTCCTCCAGTGCAATATCTTCACACAGAAATCTTTCAGAAGTATCACACTTATCTTTATTTCCGTCACAAACACACATCCTACAGCTGGACTACATATGTGTCTAATATCTGCCTTAACCTACAAGTGGAGGAGTGACACTCTGGCAGATCCATGTGTGTGTATGTGTGTACATATGTGTGTGTGTGTGTGTGTGTGTGTGTGTGTGTGTGTGTGTGTGTGTGTGTGTGTGTGTGTGTGTGTGTGTGTGTCTAAGTGCTCCAGCCATTGAGCCACAGCTGGCAGCCCTCATTACAGGCGGTACACAGAGGGGGAGTCTTAAGTGCTCCACTGAAACACAGGGGGGAAAAAACATGCTCAAGGCTAAGAAAGAGAGAAACAGAGAGATTTCATCAAGGAAACGAGGAGGAGAAATATAAAATACATTTATTTATTTAATTAAAAGAAGGGGTTAATTCAACCTCTACTGACAGCGGATTAGAGCCGGAATCCAAGATTGAAGTATTCACATTCTCTACATTAGTATATCGGTGTGTGGGTCCATTATAATATTTCACTTGTAAACACAAGGCTCAAACTTAAAGATGGGACAGATCTAAAAACGGTATCAGGACCAATATTGACAGAATTTACACATTGGATATCCGACTGACGACACCAACCCAAGTCACCGATCAAAACAATACTGTCAGGCTGATCCGCAAGTGCCCACAAATCATCATCACAACGTTCATACAATATGGAACAGATCCTTCTATATCATAAAAGTACAAATCTTGCACTTCAGTTTAAAATATTTAATTTGAAAACCTGACAGTTGTTGCTGCTTCCTGTTTGTATGTGAAGCCAGCACAATGCAATGCTGGGTTTACTACAGCTTTGTGTAGCCTTACACATAATACCAACAACAACAATGACACTAATAATTATTATTTATTTAAAAAATATATATTAGAATCAGTATCGGTATCTGTACATCTGGATCTGAACTGAAAAAAGTGCATCTCTCCTCAAACTTTTCATCTAAGTCCAATATGCGATGAGACACTCTTATGGGCTATGGTCATAATGTATAAAACAGGGACGCTCAATATCAGTTTTGTTTTATTAATGTAAGTATGTGTTTAATGCACAAGATCAGATAAAATCATAGTCCATGGTGGAGGTTGACTAGGTCGTCTAGTTCCAGCCCAAAATGTCTGAACACATCCCTGGATATTATGCTAAATGTACTACAGCCAGTTTGACTGCTTGGCTCATATTCACTGTGACACTGAAGTTCTCACTGCCCTATCAGAAGCAACCATACAAGTCTTATAACAAGTTGGTCTGATCACACAGCATACCTAAATGTGATACAGACAGACAGATAGCAGATGATGAGACACTGCATGCTTGATCTGTATATGAAAAATAGTTAATAGTGATATGCATGACACACTAATAAGCAATTGATTCATTTGTTCTTTATAAGTACCATCTTTGCCATCTGATAAGATTCTTTGTATTTATTTGGATGTAACAAAAATATTTTGACATATTTTTAAGTAACGATATTCTAAACATCTAATAAAAAAGTCTTAACTAATCAAAAATTATTTACAAAATGTGTCCTACAATAACCTCTTATCTGAATCATTGACAAAGTACAACCCAAAACATACCAACTTTGAAAGAAAACACAGCGTTTGCCTTTATTTAGTGGAAGCTGTATTCATGGTGTGTTTTCTATAAAACATTTGAGAATAAGTGATATTATTTATAACATCCCAAATGGGTTTGGTTTTTAAACCTCTCAGTTAAGTACCGTTGGAAGCCCCAAAGCAGACGGAAAATCCTCAAGGGTACAATAGCTTTTATGTAGAGGGGAGCGCACACTCATCAGTAATGGCTGACTGAAAAAAATCCAGCACACATGCACAGAAACAGTAACACAGATGCACACACACAAATAAAGAAAGAGGATGAAGACAACAAGAAAACTCACTCAATACTCCCTGTTGCAAGTTGGCATGGTAACCAATGAAGCACTACTGTGCTTTATGAAATTATCATTATGGGTGAAATCAGTCTGCTGGGATGAAAGTGCCTGTTTAAGTATATTCAATATAGAGTTTTATATATTTTATGCACAGGCGCTGCAGTGATCTAATTCTCAGACATTGAAGGATTTTTGAATGTCCCTTTTTATGAATGTTCTCATTTCTCCACTTGCAAATTAAGACTCACAATCAGAAAATAAACAATGTGAGGAGCGATCCTTAAAGTACAAGGTATGAGCTGAGGGATAACATGATGAAGACATGTGGAGGAGCACTGTGAATCAGTATGTAGAGGACAAGTCTTCTTGCAGTCACAAATCATCATCCACACAAGCATAAGACACAACTGTTGAAGCCCTCAGTATCCAATAACACATTGTATCATGCCACCTCAAAGACATCACAGACCCTCTCCTGACCTGGACCCCCTGCAGTTCGCTTACAGAGCTAACCGGTCTGTAGACGACGCCGTCAACCTGACCACCTTCTTTTATCCTAAAGAGTCTTGACTCAGCTGGGAACCTACGGCAGGATCCAGTTGGAGGAACTCAGGTCTGCTTTCAACACAATAAACCCAGCTCTGCTCTAGGACAAGCTCTCCCAGCTGAACACACCTGACTCCACCTTGCAGGTAAGATTGTGGCCGACCCCTCTAACCCTTGACACAGACTATTTAAGACCCTCCCCTCTTGGAAGAGACTGCTGTCCATCAGGACCAAAACCTTACACCACAAGAACAGTTTCTCGCCTCTGCTGCTGGCTTCATTAATAATGAAACATTACATGCTACTATGTCAGTGTGGCTTAATGCAGAAAGAACATACACAATCTTCTTGTTTCCATGACTAACCTGCAAAGAATTCCATCTTATATCATATTAGTGCAGCAGACTATCATCAGATCACATAATGGACTACTGACATGCTGCATGCAGAGTCTGAGTGTCACCTGCCCAAGCACCAAAAGCTGCTATCACAGGTAATATCAGAAGGCTTATCAAGACAGGAGCCAGGTTATGTGAGGCACGTCCTCTTGGTGCTTGTTAACGCTGTCGTAACAAGTGTGGGCTGTAGATTTCAGCAGTGTTTACTTTCAGCAGCTATAACTGCAGCTCATGAACAGTGTGTGTATCTCGTGACCCTCAAGTCTATTTTTATAGTTATTAAGAAGAACTGTGTCCCACCACCTGTACCCTCTATACTGGTTGCCTCACTGCTCACTGAGTAGCTGGCAAAGGTTTGAACCAAACATGGTAAAATAAGAGGAGGATTGTTTTATTAGATTAGATCATTAACGTGGCTCCACCAGCTCCACCCATCACAAGGATACTTTTGCTAACTTGTTTAAAATACCTGAATAATGGCTACAATGATAATGGAGAAACTGGACTAGTCTATTCACAGTACATAAAGCCCCAGTGACCTGAGGAAAAGAATGAAAAGAGGATATAAAAATATGAATCATCCCTCTGTGATGTTTTTATGTCCTCCACAATCAATAACTCACTTTGTTCTGCAAAGTGTGCACATGCGTGTGTGTGTGTGTGTGTGAGGGATGATCTGATGGCTATGTAGACAGAGAGTCGGGCAAGGAGCTGGCTGAAGAAGAAACTATGACTTTTAATATCCCTTTATCATCACAGCAATATATTTATGTGGGCGCCAGACACTTGGATAGGAAATATGGAGGATGATTTTATCGTCTGTCACTCACTCACACACACAGAGCCACAAGCCGTTTTCCCTGTTTATTCCCCCCCCCCCCACACACACACACACACACACACACACAATCAAACACATTATTCTTAGAAGGTTTGGGCAGGTAGATTCTTACTTATTCAAGAAAAAAATAAATACACAATTTGTATAGGTGCGTGCATTTTTTCCATAAAGGTGTCCAGATTTCCTGTGTGGTTAATCGAATACATATCTGGTTGATGTGATTCAGCTTTCATCGGTGGAATATAAACAGAAGCTGAACTGATTTTACCTTAAAGAAACAATGGCAGAACAATACAGAGAGATTAGAGTGATTCATGCTGCTCAATACAATCTGTAGGAGGGAATGCACCCTTCACTTCACTTCATTTTTGTTCCTCACGCAAAATTTAAAAAAATTAGAATAATTGGGACTTGTGTAGCTGGTTATCACTCCCAGGTAGGTCACTCCCGTTTGTTTCCACAGATCGATCTATACAGTTCTTATAGAGATTGATATCGTTCTTTTGTCTGTACATTAAGTGTAGCTCAGACCAGAAACCATTTAGCTTGGCATATCATTAAAAGACTTGGTACAGGACCA